TATGATCACACTACAATGCAAATTTTAGAAAAACAAATCAGAGAACGCCTCACTTGATATTTCCGGCAATTACTTTCGTTTTGTAAATAGCTGCTTTCATAGTCCGCCGGCGTGCCGAGGCAGTGCTAGGGGTGTGGAGGGGGGGGGGGGGGGGGCAGACGGTCGGTCAGCCTCTTCGAAGGGCTGTAAACAAAGAGAGACAAAATCAAAAACCATTTGCACAAGCCCCTGTTGTTTGGTTTTTGATCTTGTTCTTCTTTGTATTCAGCCTTTCGAAGGGGCTGACCGACCGTCTGCCTCCCTCCTCCCCCTAGCACTGCCTCAGCACGCACGCCGGCGGACTATGAAAGCAGCCAATCTGTTGCACATTAGTGGGGAAGTATTATATTTTAAAAAATGACGCATTCGACTATTCGTAGCTTTTGGGTCGGATTTTATTTTACGACTAATTCTGCATTATCTGTCAAACTGCATACACTTCTTAAAAGTTCTCTCCTTGCTCCACCGAACTTTTTTGTTTCCCTTTATGATTTGATTACTCGCGATTAAGAATTCTTGAAAAAGGAGTATTCATGAGACAAAAAGCAGCACTTCGATATTTGTTACTAGATCCGAGTCATTTTATCTGTTTCGCCGAAAAAAATTACAGATACAAATAAGGAATTTGCTTACAATTTGCTTAGCAAAATAGCATATTACCGAACATCGAGCAACATTCAGCCATAGGTCATTATTTCTACATATATAAATATATGTATATATATGATACTTTTGCACAACTAAGTCATGTTGCAAATGCCTCGAGATGCTTCGGTGGCCTTCTGTTTCCAATGAAAAACGAAGACTAGCACCAGCGAACGAACTCATTTTTACCCTTCCGCATTTTCCATTTCAGAGTCTCGAAATCGTGAACAGTTGAGTTATAAGAAGAGCAATCCTTTTAATTGCTTCAGTAGGGGTTTTCTCTTACAGAAGGTTCTCCAGCTGGTCGGTAACGAGTTTACTTGGAGCAATCCAGGTTGCGGATGGGGGAATAAATCGCGAGCCAGAAGTCCTAGAAAGCAGATGGACTGAAGAAATGAATTTCTGTTTCTGCTGTTTCGGTCGACTGATCTTCTACCTCCTAGCAAGTGTATCCATGCATGCGTGTGTGAAGAGTCTGCAGAGTGCTTCGTATGGTATACACCAGCCCACCCAAAAGCTAGCATTCGAATGACAGGAAAGTAATCCGAGAGGCGATTCCAGTGGCCTCTGAAAAAATAATTCATTGTTCCTATATGGTAGCAGGTATATCTATAATGCATTGATATATCAAAGCACGGCAAGCTATCCTAATATACCATTATGCCATCAACCATAATGCGAATAGGTCATAATAAATAATCTCATGAACTCGCAATGCCTTGAAATCTAGAAGCCTCTCCCGAGCAGTTCTACCGAACGCTGCCTTTTTGAGGGTCATAACACGCTGCTTCAAAGAAGAAGAACCGAGATAGCGATCGATCGACTCGCAGTGCATGAAGGCTTGCATAGGATTTTCGTATCGAAGATCTTATAAGGCAAGCTAGGAAGCTAATGTACGTCGTTATCCGACTTACCGAAACGAGAAGGCATCGTCCGTTGCACCTCGTTCTCGATACTGGGGAATAATTGTTCCTCGGTACGACAGCAGAGGCAGTGTAGGTATTTACGTCAACACGCACTATGCCCTGAACATCGATTCGTACGAAGGGTCGACAACACGAATTGGACGTCGGTGTTTGCGAATATGTGGCTCGACTCTGACTCTGACATTTTCTTTGTCTACGCACTAGTGACAAGTTACGAACATAAGGAGCTGAAAGCGGTTCATGACCTGGAAAAACTCTACAGAACAGATCATACCTACTACAAAGTCATCGTCGGTAATTCTAACTCCAAAATTGACTCCAGAAGAAGGGCTGAAGGACTCCACGTCAGGACTCACGGTATGGAACAGAATGAGCAGGGTGAAAGGCTATTCGAGTTTACCATGTCGAGTCACATCACCTATGGTAGTTCGCTATGGACTTGGCAGCCTCCTGGTGGACAGTTCTATATTCGAGCCAATCACAACATCTTTAATCGAAGGTACTGCACAACCGGCGTCGCTGTTGCTTTATAGGGAATAGGACCATAGTCTACTCCACGCTAGATTCTGTTTTTAAATGCGTGGAGAGAGAGCTGCAAATTCCAGTAAACGAAGCTTCATGGCATTCACCAATGGGGACGACTCGCTTTCACTGCTCTACAAGTTGCTAGGAGGCGTCCCTCTTCCAAAATTGGATCGCGCTTGATGTGGGTGGGATCGCGTATGCAACAGAAAGTCATCGACTGATGTCCGAACTTGCGAAGCTGTGCAGAGAAGCGATAGAGGAACATTCGAAAAAGTGGACCAGTAGTTTTGACCGAAGCCCCAAAGACTGGAAAAGCGTGCGAGACTGCCGCCCAGAGCTTTGCAATAACAAAAACAAGATGATCTCCCTCGCCGTTCTGACCAAACACATCATCTCGGTGGGCAATGGAAAAGGTCATTGCGACTTCTACTCAGACCTTCCCATCAGGATTAGACCTAAATTTAAAAACTTCTTCTCGGATCTTCCCATCAGGATCAGACATATTATAGTATATCTATTTAAAAATCCCCTCGGCTGTTTGGGCGGTAAATGTCAGAAGCTAAGTATCCTGGGGGACGGGACTTACGTGCGTCCGAGGATGCGCGCGGCAAATTGCGCGGTGAAGTGCGTGGTGGTTCGAACGACTCTGGCGCCTATCATTGGGGACCAAATCTGAAGTAGAGTAGATTAGTAGTATCAGCTGACCCTACTAAACTACTCTACTTCGAGTTTGGGCCTCAATGATAGGCGCCAGTGTCGTTCGAATCACCACGCACTTCGCCGCGCAATTTGCCGCGCGCATCCTCGGACGCACGTAAGTACCCATACCCAAGTATCCTCTTCGTGAAAAACCAGGCTCTGCTGCTGCATAAAAAGGGAGACAAGATTTGCAGCTGTCGCCAATTTTTCTGCTGTCTTTGAGGTACACATTTTTATGCAAGCAGTCTTGAATCAGCAGGACAAAGGATGGAGTACAGTAGAATGAGGAAGCAAGGGTTCTAAAGGATCCTAATTCTGATCGGCATATCCACACTACGACTTATTAAAGTATCGCAAGTGTGAGGAATGCCGCCATGTTTGACGTTCATTGATTGAAGGAAAGCTTTTACAATGTCGAGGCCGGAGTGGTAATTGAAGGCTAAGCCTATAGGCTCACAGGGTGTTCCAACTCGATGCATAAAGATGCTTCGTGAGCTCTTGCAACAGCTTCACGATTAATATTTCACAATTCTCCAAGGAGGTCATTGCCAACCTGAAGAAGGGATGAAGAGTAGACCACACATAGGAATATTCAGCCTACAACTGAACCATTTTTGTGCATTACAGTGCAGTGAGGTACGCACCTAACGGTACTTGTTCGAAAAGAGCCGGAAAAAACGCGGATTTGCGTCTCATTCGTCTTCTCTTTATAACTGGGTTATTTCACTTTTTTCACATATAGTTCATCAAATGCCTTCAATTTCCTCGGTCCATCAAAGTTCCTGGGGGCACGTCATTAGTAGCGACGCTCGCTATAATTACAATCATAAAACATTCTCTATTATTGAAAATATTCAGAGAGTTGTGGAGTAGCCATCATATTCCAAAACTGAACATAAAGTAAACCGTGCATTCCTCATGTTTTACTGATCATTTTGTACCTGTTTTTTTCAAAATGGACAAAGTTGGTCATGCACCAATCTTAAACGGGAGCGGCTTTCAAAGTGAATCTCGCAAATCTCAGTTAATCACTAGTGTCAGTGCATGATATGCCTGTGCTTCACAAATAGCTCTTTTCTGTATTTTGCATATTGTTTTCCCCAGTTCAAAAAGAAAAGCGATTTCATCGTTCAAATCCGGGTGTGCGGCATATTTTGACGGATATCGTATGTTTTCTTGCTTCTTCAAGCAAAATTTTTAAAGTTTAGGGGAAAGCTACGCCTTTCATCGAAAGTAATTATACTGATCTGCCTGTGGACAATCGCGTATATGAAGAGTAGTTAGTTGTATTCAGGTTCCATGAATAGCTTCCCCCCCTGAAGCACAACAGAATGAATCACATTTATCTTTATACGAAGTGAACATCTCAAAATCTACACTGTTAAATCTCATTATAAAAAGCTACCCAGTGATATGAAAGTCACCCAACGAATTTCATTTTGGATTAGCAAATTTGACACCAATTTTCTACCTTACTTCTTTACTCGGGCATCCAATTAGCCATGTGGCTCTAGTGGTCGAGGCAGCATATTGATCGATTGTTGCTTGCTTTGATGTGCGCCATAGTCGATCATACTGAGAAACTTGCCCTTCTGATTGAAAGTATACAACTGCTGCATGCAACTGTTACCAATGGACCGGATCATTTTGCAGAACAATGTGTTTTGTTTTTACTAGGGTGGGGTCATACTTCAAATTTTTTGAACAGATACCAGGTATTGTCCCTCGGCCTCAGTGGCTCCTACGGTAATTACCGAAGGAGTTTCTTCGCACATCGACAATGGTGTCGCAGTCATAAACTGACTTACAACCTACACATTTAAATACAGCCGCTATCCTCCTTCATAAATGAACGTGAAATGATCCAAATATTCAATGTTGTAAGGTTTTTGTTGCGAGCACGAGAACACTCACAAACACTTCAAAAAATCTGTGTTATGCGGGGAGTTGTAATTTATAACTTACATTTCTTCTTGTTGCGAAAAATGTCACGTATACATGTTTAACGTTCTTACGGACTCGTTAGTACAGTAGATTCATGAAAATTTTGAAAGAGCAGGATTTGTTGCCCTGCACAAAATAACAGGTACATGGGATAGGTACGAATATGCTTGTAACTTCGAATACTTGCATTATAATCATGCACTAGCCAACTTCTGTAGAAGAACGGTGCATCAACGGACTCACAGAAATGTACAAGAAGTTGCATTTAGGGTTGTACACTTCCAATCGGATTCTCTTTTAGGAGTTAGAAGGCTTTGCGTTTGAGCGAAGCTGTTTTCTAAGGGACATTCAATCACATAACAAGTTTATATGATCGGGATCGGTACACGGTCACTGATCGATGTAGATGAAGCAAAGCTTCCATTTTTCCTTTGCATGATGATTGCTTGACGCACTTGAGGTTGGCGTGGGCTTAGTTGTGAATAACTCTCCGCCGAATCCTTACTGATGACTGCGATTTCTACGATGTCGATGGACCTCAATGGATGTATGCCTGCTTTCTTGTAAATTTTCTCAAAGTATCACGATTTTATGGCTCAAAAAAGCAAAGTTATGAGCAAGTAGAGACGAAGGCTCTACGTCACTAGATAACCGCTTCAAACATACATCAATTAGATGGCTTGGCTGACAGAGATCTCTCCTCATTTTCGTGTGAAACTTGGCCTGAGACCAAAATTTTTTTACCGTAGTCTCCCTATCCTAGTGCTCCTATCCTGCCGCTTGCATCCTTTCTGTTGTTCCTTTGAACCCCTAGGTCCAAAGGAACAACAGTTATGAATTTTCGGTCGGACACACATATAAACCACACACACGCTCAGCGCGTTATAATATTAGGATGTGTACACACGAATCTCTTCCTACTCTGCTGGGCTAGCGCCTTTTTCACAAAATTCTTATCGTTTTCAGGCTACGTACTACGAAAGACGCAACAGACCTGCACAACGGTGCACCAAAACACCAGCGTAACGTTTTATAGAAGCATCTAAACTGGGTAACCCTTAGAAACGGAACCTGGCTCATAATTAGGTTACAATTTCGATTGACATCGAAGTTAGCGACAGAAGCCATGACTGACGATTACTGAGTGTTAATGTGACCCCAGCATTCATCCACGGCTAATTGCCTGGACAGGAAATGCTCTGTCGTTACCACAACCATCAAAACCAGAATCAGCTCATTCATAAGTAATAACTGCTTAAGTACGACAACGGAATAAAAGCAACTGCTCACCCGAAATCAGTGGCTCGACTGGAAATGTGTATTGAGCTCTCCACCCCTCCGGCATTGGCCAACTGAGTCCAACACGCTCTAGTTATCAACGTAGATATCGTCTGTAGCTGGAACCAACATTCCGTTTTGTTGAGAATTTACGCATTCAAATGCTTGTGCGACTTTGAATCTAAGTCAAACGCTTGTTCCATTCGCCTAACAATTTGGATCAGATCGATCGATTCAACTTTATTCGGGCGTCCAATGTATAGCAGCAGAGATCTAAAAGTTAACAGCAAACTCTTAATGGAAAGATGAGGATCTCCCAATAGAAGTGAAAATGAGTGGGTATGAGGATGAGTTACACCCTGAGACTAGCAGGATAAGAAAGAAGGAGACGTGGAAGTAAGGAGGAGAATAATGCCGTCCACCACTGAAAGGAATAAAGATGAGCTCCAATTAATAAGAAATGCCAGTGAACCTCGGCCTCAGATACAATTTTAGCTATGTTTATTTGTAAATCCTCCCTGAAACTCAGTTCAGTACGAGAACGGTACTTTTCTAACAGGAACCTCAAAAAACTGCATAAACCCACTTATTTTGTTGACCATGTATGACCATTTTAATATTAGGATGATCAATGTTATGATAGGGTCAGGACTTTTCCTTTTTTATTTTACAACTCAGAAAAACAACGCATGGTAATCGACAACATAATGGCCACCGTTAGTTATGATATTGTCTCCCTTTACGGGTACGTCAGCGATTTCCTTCTCCCAAAACTGGGAAGATTGGGGGTATAAGAAGTCACCGGCCATTTGTTCAAAGTGGTCATAGTTGACGAATTTTTTTTCTTGCTAGAGAAGTCCTAAGGGGCCGGACCAAGTGGTAATCTGAGGGAGCAATGTCAGGTGAATAGGATGGATGGGAACCAGGTCCCAGTCTAACTTCTCCAATTTTGCACGGGTCTCTTTACCTATGTGAGCTAGCGTTTCATGGAGAAGGTGCACAAAATTCGACTAGGTCTTTTTTCTCGAAAGGATTCCGCAAGTTTTTGCGGCTGACCAGCGTAACAAGGAACGGTGGCGGTGTGGCCCTGTATGAGCAATTCGTAATACAGCATTCCTTCCGAACCCCAGAAGCAGGAAGGAAGAAAATATCTGGGGTGGACGCCGGAAGCGCGGAAGCGGAATGGAAGCGCGTCGTTCGACGCACACTAAATAAAATAAAATAAATAAAAATAAAGTGTGCTTTTACATACTCATTACGGAGAAAGTTCTATAATGTTCTACCACTATCGCATGGTACATCATTGGTATCGTTTAATAATCGAAAGTTCAGGAACTTTTAAAGAACCCTATCAAAATTTTTCGATCTTTTATTCTATTATTTTTCCATCTATTATTTACATGAATGTTATCTACACCCTGTTCAAACGAAGCTTCTACCGAAACTGGATGGATATGGGGAATATTTTTGCATGATTTCATGGTCTATCCATTGCGAGCTGAAGGCGGTGTAGTGGCAAGTGGTGTTTTATCTTACACGCATGGTCACGGGTTCGAGATCAGGATCGGTAGGCGCTTAGGCCAACCAAGCCTTAGATTTCTCCGGGGTCAGTTAAGTGGTACAGAGTCGTCTGGGAGGATCATTGTAGGTCACATACGCATTCAAAATGCAACTGCAATTCTGAATGGAAGCTGACTGCGTGGGCGCATTCCTCGGAAGGGATCGATTAATGGCCCAAGACTTTATCCTCTTGAAACTTTATCCATTCAGCCCATTATCCAAGACGCCTGACAAAGATTACTGGACCATACTGATCTATAATACTAGGGCATATAAGGTATCACTTGGACCACTAGGACAAATACTTGGAATAGCCGAATTTCACTGCAATAGTACTTTCAATCTTCCTCATAAACTTAGACACCTTACATTGGACCAGTTGAGCTGCGCACGCTGACGCGTGTAACACATGTCCACAACCGCTTATCTATGATCGTACTCATAGGAAAATCGAAACATTTTTAATGTACTGTAAACACCTCACCCAAGAGTTCGCCTACGTTTCATTCATGGAAATCACGAGTTGAGAGTGGAGCCCTCAATAATAAAAAACTCAAAAGATTTGCTAGATATCAGTAATAGTTGTATTCAAAATTGCGCTCGATTTGACTGTAGGAAATTGCGCACCAGAGATGTGATAGAAAACAGTTAGCAGAGTGATTGATGATGCCTGATACAGACGCCAATGTAAAAGTCTTTCCACCTCACTCCTCTCTTCTCCGTAGATTCGATCTCTCTGCGATCTGCTTCCTCACCGCGCCCACGACATTTCACTCTTCATGGCGCCTACATTACTTTTTGCGGATGACTCACAGATAAACAAACAAACGCAAAAATTAGCGCTTTTTATATTGGTAGAAAAGAGTGCAAACCAGGTTATGGGTAAATTAAAAGTTGCTATTCTCACTTCCATACTGTCTTTTTGAAGGCAATGACTTTCAAAAAGAAGCTGGATAGTGGTCAGCATTCTGCTAAAAAGTTAACCTGTGTCAACAAAGAAACTAGTTGCGCGCCACAGCGCTTAGGAGCGTTGATGCCTTCGCGGGCAATCGGTCACAGTTAATTTCTGACCATTTGCATTAAAGTGATTCCGCAATTGCACTGCAGCGAAATGTGTGGTTCTTCATGGTGGTACGATTGCCTCGACGTGACACTGTCGTGGTCATCTAGTTGTATCAGAGAACAGGGCACGAACGATGGCCATGTCAAGGGGCGGAGGCTCATGGCACGACGCTAAAAAGAGCGTAGCCCCGGCCACATCGCCCATAACACCTCCCAAGTCGACAATGGCACCGACAGTGGCGTCGCTTCTACTTCTCTTCCCAATTTACTTGACTTCTCGTGGGTAGACTGTTTGCTTTCTTCCCATTCTCCAAGCAACTGTACTTAAGTAAAAAATATAGAGGTAGAATAATAGCAACAGCATTTTTCCACTCAAACTTCCATTTCCCAATCAAGAACTTTATGGTGGGGCTATTGAACTTCGTGACTTCGACAAGCAAAATCCCTGTGATTGCTACAAGAAGAGTGCGCTGTAGCAAATTTATCACATGGTATTTGAGGATAGACAGATTCCTAAATATCATCGCAGTTTTCGAGCGAGATACAATGCCCTTTCCTCGTGCTGAGAGAACTTCATCGGCTCATCATCAATGTCACCTCATAATATCTTAAAATTTTTGGTAACAGTTCCCTGTTGAACGAAGCTGTTTGTCCATATTCTCCAATTCAATAATTAACAAATAACATTCAAATTCTATTCGCACTTGAGGCTCAATATGAAGTAATTCTCTGGAGTACCAATCAATGCAGCAGTTTGATTGTGGAATCAATACTGTAGACTTACTAAACACTCGGGTAGCATTTCTTTGTAACAGGGTTGAATGCATCATCATTTCAACCTTTCAAACGCTAACATTGCGCTGTTGATCAAAATGAAATTACCGATGAACAAATACCGTGTATTCGTAGTAGCGTGGTTAAAAGAAAGCTTCCAGTAGATTTTCAAATAAAAATGTAGGGTCCAGATTTGAGCTCTAGTCAGGACTGCTATAAAAAAGTGGTCTACCGATGTCTACGAGCAGATTCCCCATGAATTCTTCACTTTTATTGACTTGAGTTTTCACGCCTATGACCTTGAATAGCAGCTGTTCAGAAAGCGACGAGGTGAGATTTGGAAGTGACTTTCTCAGCTAGATTGTGTCCATAATTGCGTTTATTTTGATACCGCAGTTAATGCAATGCACTTGAAGGCGTCGTCGCTGGTCCGTGCATATTTCGCGAAGGAACTCAGCAGGTTATCTATGGTATTCGAAATGGTATTGTGCATTTTCGCGTGGTCCTTCGTGGAATTCCACAGTCGGAATCGGGATGGACTGGTGTAGGATTTGGAAAGGGAATGGTTCGTGCAAATTTACGAGTTACAACAGAAATTCTGTAAGTTATTGGAAAGATCTTAGTAGCACTCTATAGTTTTTAAAATACTTAAATCCGCGCTCCAGTCTCAAGCAAGCTCTATGATGAATATGAAAGCCCCAACACCTACTTAGGGTTTAGTATCCTAGGTAGCTTGAGCCAAGCTGAACTGACAAGTCAATACTCTCGAATGTCAGGGAAAGCAACCAATCCGGAGATATATGTAAGTCTCCGTCGAAGTAAATCAAAATCTTCTTGGATGGCTTACGAGTGAAAAAATTTCATAGCTAAATATGATATCATCTATCAATTGTGGCAATCAATATTGGTTCACCGGTTCAGAACTGATGCCCAGGCATAAAGTAGAAGGTCTGTTAACGAAAACAGAATAAAATGGCATGAGAAGTACTGAGAGCTGCTATTCATATAATGTGGGCGAGCGACAATCACTCAAGAGTCGAATGCGTTAGGGGTGAAAGACTGTATAGACTGTCTTATTCCAGGGGATCCTTAGTTTCCATTGCAATCACTAAAAGCGCCTAGAAAGAGGGCGATTCCCACTCGAAATAGGACCTCGGAAAGTAAGCTAATGACGGCCTGTGATGCCTTTCAAGACCACTCTTTCAGAGAGAACAAACGATTCACGCGTGACCCCATCAGAAAGATGCTGCTGGTAACTGAGTGCACGACCTAACTAGAAATTAGACCATCAGATGGAAATTATTGCGCTCCGAACTTCAGCTGGGTTTGTTGGTCCGATTGCATAATCTGCAAGTTCTGAATGTTAGCGACTGATTGATCTCCCATGAACATTTGTCCGAAAAGAGTGTTTGGTCGGGATACCAGCCCTTTCCAATTGTGTGAACATGTTAGAATTGTTTTCAGAAAGCGGTGGATAATAGGAAAAAGTTTGGCTGATGTCTACAACAATTTCTTTTCATTTATCTAATCGAAATCACTAATAATAATAATATAATAATATTTAATATTAATAACTGAATTACTTACATCAGCTAATCTACGCTTAATGCTCTGACAGCTGCTGGCGTGCACTTTTAAGGCTTCATAAGATGGCTTGTTAGTCTTTCTCTGTATCTTCTTATTCTTGTACTGTTCTGGCTTGGCCATACTTCGATACAATTTTGGCGAGATTGCTATAGGATCGTCTCAGAGAGTCGCGGAGTGGCGGTCATCCACTACCACTTTACTCATAAAACAAGCAATCTGAAAATGTACCAATAGATACAATGATAAAAAATGAACGCAGAAATGAGAAAAATTCTAAGCCTAAGTTGAAGAGGACCAACATAATGAAGATCATGCTTGTGAATGTCCTCATTCTCACCATTGTCCAGACAAAGCTGATGTTGCCCAGCAGAGTACCGTCAGACAAGACGAACCATATTTGGCAGAAATGGTGGCGATGACGACGGGTTTCATTACGATGCTTTATGGCGAACCTCCCCACAACCATCGCTGTACAGAGCCCATCTTGATTCAGCCTACCCAAACACATGGATGGTACAAAAGAATGTTCTCAGTATCCCTCAGGCCTTATGCACATGGACTGATATCTAAAGGACAGAGCTTATCGCATAAAATTAAGGATAACTGTATCAAACTTGCAAATTTAACTGCAATTCCGAGATATATCGAATGAACTAATACGTGTCGTTTATATCTATGTCGATCTATCGTCAGCTTTGTCTTGGTAACGACGGTCACCAATTTTGACATTTGCGACCATGACTCTTCTTCGCTTTCTATTATTCAAGCCCCGAGTTTGTCTCTATGTTCGTGAATAATAGTCAATCTGATTGTTGGTACCTCTTTCATGTCGCGCCTAGTGCCTCCAAAAAACTGAGTATTCAGGAGGTAGGTTAGAAACAGACCCAATCCAACCTTAGGGCTTTGCTTTTCAAGTGAAATCATAAATACATCTGAACAGCGTGTAAGAATGCATTCGTTGTTCCCTATACTGAAGGTGATTTATAGGGGCAAAGTAGTAAATGTGGAGTGAATGGGGCATTCAAAGCTTTTGTTAGCAACAAACTTTGACTGATAATATAGAAAACTAATTTCCATGAATTAACCGTCATACAACTCATGAAGACCTTCCAGGACCAAGGTTGTTCCAAGAGTTCCCCAGTAACTGTTCTAATGGACAGATTGACACAGAAAGAACGCGTAGCAACTCACAACGCGGCTGGCGCAGTGTCATTAATAATCGGGGTGAAGAAAGCCACTCGACCTTTGGGAATACCGCAACAGAGATCGCTGGCAGATTCACTGTTCCGTTTGTTCAGCGCATGATTAATGAGTCTTTTAAGCGCTGCGGCCTTAGCACTTGTCTAGATGCTGGAACTGTGGCGACTATGATGCTAAAAAATGTTGATCTAAATGAAATTTGAATAACATCTCAATAGAAAATCAGAAGAAATCAAATCAAAGAAAGTAGTAGTAACAGTTGCTCATGAATTACCCTAAAATTCCATAGATAAGAGCGGGTGAACCTACCGGTGAAAAATGAATTGGAAAAAATCGAAATTGAATGCAGTCACCCCTCTAACTTGATGGATGGATAAATTAAACTTCGAAGAAGAAGTTGAGAAGAAGCTCCGCCCTCAACTCTAAACCCCGCCCATTTAATAAACAATTCATATAGAAAAATAGCGATTTTACCGGATCGCTGTTTTTCTATAGAAATTGTTTATTAAGTGGGCGGGGTTTAGAGTTGAGGGGCGGAGCTTCTTCTTAACTTCTTCTTCGAAGTTTAATTTATCCATCCATCAAGTTAGAGGGGTGA